CGAAAAGTTAGAATACTCACATCTATTTCCACAAGGGGACATACAGTCGTTTTAATTTTAGTCTCACAAAAAATTCTTACCCCTTGTAAGCATATTGTGACCATGTAAGAAAATATAGGAAGGTAAAGGAAGGTAATGATGACGAAATATTGCTTATCCTGATAGATTGGAGAACGTAAGCAGTGTGAGTACGTAGGTCACTATATAAGTTTTGAGATGCTCGAAATTTGAAAATAAAACGTATCTGTTGTCATAAATTATTAAAAGGTACGTAAATTTAATTGAAATTAAATTGTTTTAAGGAAAAATCGATTCCATTCACAAACCTTATTTCGGTGGTAACAGATGGAGCTCCTGCCATAGTCGGGCGACATCGTGAGTTTGTCAGCCATCTTAAAATAATTATAGCAGAAGTAACTGCAATTCACTGTGTCATCCACCGACAACACCTCGTAGCAAAAATTTTTAGTGATAGATTGCACCAATGGCTTCAATTTGTGATTAATGCAATTAACAAAAGAAGAAGCAATGCGTTGAATACGCGTTTGTTTACGCTCCGAACGATTGCTCTTACATACTGAAGTACGCTGGTTGTCAAAACGTGCATGTTAAACAAGATTTTAATAACTTTTTAATCTGTTTTACAGTTTCTCTAAAGTAAAGATCCAGATTTAAAAGAAAAGATGATCGATTTGAAAGCAGACATCGCATATTTGACAGATTTGTTCAAAAAAGTTAATGAGATTAACTTACAATTACAAGGGAAAGAGTCTCAATTTAATAAAAATAAACTGTGCAATTTCAGCGTTTCTTGGAAAATTGAAAGTTATGAAATAAAATATTAGTCGGCACGAATTTTTCCAGTTTTGAAACTAGTCACAGGTAGAGTGCCTTGATGAGTATATTCAGACATACGTTCAACATATTTTATTTGATTGATTTGAAGATATTCTGACGATGGAAATACCACCATGGATCATAAATCCATGTAATGAAACGAAAGTGGAGAATGTGATATTACAAGAGGAGCTACTCGAGCTTAGCACTAATGAGGAGCTGAAGGTGAAATTTAAAAGAGGGTATCAAACATTTTGGCTGCAGGCAGAAATACCCGAAAAATAACCTGGAATGTGAGGAATTGCGAGAAAGCTTTTGATAGCGTTTCCCTCGTCATATCTTGTCGAAAAATAATGATAGGTATTTATTTTTAACCCGTTAAAAGCGAATTATGCATGGATGACGGGAATGATTTTGTCAGAAAATATTAAAAAAATACAATCAATGTAACTCACGGTTGATTTTTACTTCATTTTACAAATTATGAATAAGATCTAATAATAAAAACGTCAACGAATAATGAGAACAATTATTATAGGTTTTTTTTTCAAATAATCAAGAATTTTTTTGATAGTTAAAATTTTTATTTAAAAGAAGTTACAAAATAGACTATTTATTTATTTTTTATTTTTTTTAATTAATATAACGTTATTGTGTGTACCAACTTTTTTCTTCAAGTACCCCTCGTCACGTCCCTTCAACACAAACAATCCTGTTTTCCGGGCCCGCCAGACATGATCACCTCGCCTGATAAAAACCAGGCGAGGTGATCATGTCTGGCGGGCCGCGGCCCAACTATGCTAATCGGCGAGAGAATTCTACATATCGCGATACAGGATTAGCAATCCTTATTCAGTAGTTAACCCGTAGTACGATGTATCTTCGTTAGATGGCGCTGTAGTATGTTTCAATTTCTTTGTGTGTGGGAGTCGCCACAACACTACTCCAAGACCGGAGGTCGATATTTGGATGAGTGAGCTGTCTATACCCTGTTGTGGAGCGTGTCAGTTCCAGTGAGTCGGAACTGAGTGCCGCTACTCCCAGCGAGTCGGGACTGAAGTCCGCTTTTGTGAAGTCGCTAATAAGTCGGGGCGGTTGCTACGTAGTGGCTGACTGCTGCGTAGACGGGAGAGAGATGCTCTTCTTACGTTCTTTGTATGTAGGAGTCGCCACACCAGCGTTTAGAGCCTTTTAGCGACATCTGGACCAACTTTGGCTGACAACAACCTAACATCCCTTGTGTTCTATTTATCCAGACATTTTTGGGCGTGTTTACAATGGTGGCCTTAATTGCTTTTTTTCGTTGTTTTCTACAACTTTGAATTGATATGTTTGATTTTGCAACATAGTAAAGAAGTTGTTATTGGGAACTTTTGTATTTTTAAATTCTAAATAAATTCTTTGTTTATGATTGCAATTAGGCCATGACTTGATCTTCAATAGATTTCTTGTCTCGTATGCTCTTATTTTTTATTTTATTTATCATGTTATAATCAGCAGCCGTTAGAAGTTCCTTGTATAGTAGGTATACCTAGTACGGTTTTCTGTGTTTGATAAATGAATAGGGAATATGCATGTATTTTTTTTTACGATTCTACTAGTTATTACATTACCAAAAATTAATATAACACATCCGAAATATAAACCGTTAAGCAAAAAAATTTTTATTAAAATCACTATCATTTTGGGGCAATTTGAACACGTCCATTTTGGCGCGCTTTTTTTGTGACGTCAGATTACACTTTCAGACGAATTCGATGTCAACAACGGAGTGAAGTTCACAAAGTTTCTGAAAGTTAAAAAAGTGAGTGATAATAATTAACTTATTACCATGGAAAGCCAATAAAAACTTATTATAAATAATGTGCCGTTCCTTTGTGCCCAAATAATATAAAAACTGCACCTGACAAAGTATATTCAGTCATTGTGTTGAGTCTTTCTACACGGGAATTTAATAATTTAACACTGAAAACCTATTAGTTATTAACTTAAAATGAAACAAATAATTACCAGAAACCAAATATTACAAATACACACAACTTGTTGACACTCTCGACAGTGTAGGTTGACGTCACGTTTTATCAACCAATAGCGTTGCGTTTTAGAAATTTGCGAGGGAATCTTAAAAAAGCCAATTTTTGATGATTAAATTTCACTATTAAATTACAATAAATTTCAAAAATAATTGTATTTGTATCTTTTTTTAGCAATAAAAATTACAAATAAAAATATTTTGTCCATTTTGGTGTCACGTGCATATTCCCTATTATGAGATCTCCCAAAACTAGACCCCCTTACTTGGTTGAAGTTAAGAGTAGAAATCTACTACTGCTACCAATTTCTAATTTTACAATGTTCAAGTCTGAAACAATTCGTATCAGCAAGGTTATAAATGATTCCAATTTGAAGTGCATATCTTTCTTATTCAAACAACTAGTTTTTTTGTCCTCATATATGCTATGTTGACTTAGGTATGTTTCAGGTCATTATTGACCTATTCTAAAACTTCCAACGCTTTGGAAATCGATAATTGTGGTTATAGCAAAATTATACAGTTGGTTAATTAAATTAAACCAATTATTCATTTTGTTACTTTTATTTAATTTATACATTTTCGTTTCCAATTGTTCGGCTATGTACACACATAATAATAATTAAATAATAATTTTATGTTGTGAAAATGTATATTCACGATAATTTTGTCAATCCAAAGGACTAAATGATAGTTACTCATAACAATGTAAAGTTATACATTCAGAGCAGTACAATAAAAAAATATATTATATATAAAAATATATAATCGTAAAACAAACTAATATAGATGTCACACAAAACCAATGGTGAGTCGAAATAAAATAAAAACTCTAATATTTAGAAATTAAACTTATGCCATTGGACTATTTCCTGCTAAAATAAAAATATTTATTATCAAATATTTACACCAACAAGATAGGCAAATTAAATAACTACTTATTTTATTACTTCATGTCATGTGAAACTTAAATATACACCACGTAAATTATTATAGCAACATATTAAATATTATTATTACATATTATATTCATTTAACAGATAACATTGAAATATCACATGATGAAATGTTTAAACATTATTATAACACTTGAAAATGGCAAAAATTAAATTAAATAGCATAGCTTTACAAATAAAATACTTCTGCCATCGACAAATTGGACAAAATAACTAATTATTCTTATAAGGAACAATGGATAAAATGTATAATGAAAACAATATTGAAGCATGGAAAGATACCCTTCAATATCTGTTTCGAGGAAGACGATATATTTTAACTCTATCGTCATTTAAATCACAGCTACTGTTGGTGTCCTTGAGCGCTACTTTGCAAATCATGTTAAATGGGAAACTCTTAAGTACACCTAATGTTGAAAGGCACTAAGACCCTAATCTACAATAGAATCTCTGTACATGTTATTGGATTTGAATATTTGTAGATAAAACGTATGTACTTATAGCATTCAGGCAACAGTTTGACGCACGACTAGCCGATGTTTATATACATTTCAATTAATTTAATACCTAATTAGTACAGCCTGATAATAACAATTTTTAAGATTTTATTGGAATAATATACTAAGTGAGCACTTACTACATTAAATGCAATTTTTACTCAATGAAATACTTATATACACATGACTACACAATTGTTTAATATTACAAAAAATATTTATATAGTAAGAAATATATGTATCACTGTTAATTACGATAATATATTATTTCCATGGACAAAATGAGACCTTTACATTGATAACAAATTTGAAAAACCGAACTTTTTAGTTTATATAGTAAATTAAAAAATATCACATTACTGAGATTAGCGTAGAACAAGTTGCAAGAAACTGATTATAACTGATGATAATAGTATCTAATATAAATATAAGGACAGTCATACCAATATCAAGAAAAAAATTGTAACCGTTTCGACTTTCGTACTACAATAGATAACACGTGAAGGCATTTACTGTGTACATTTTTGGTGAGATTCCGAATAAAATAAAACAATCTATTTTTTCATGTTTTTTTTTCTCCTATTGAAATCCAGAAATAACTCCTATATTAATACAACTTGAGAAACTTACAGTTTCCAACTCTAATAGAAATTTATTGTAAATAATTAAAAGATCTGATTATGTGCTGTAATGTCGACGACTTTTTATTTTAGATACCAAATTACATATTTTCAGAGCTGGGCCCAGTTTCAAACCCATATATTTCATCATCATATCGGAGTTAAGCAGCAATAACGCCTTTCCGTCTATCTCCTGTAACAATAAACGTAATACTAAAAATAAAAGTATTGAATTAGAAGGCCAAGTAAAATAAATCCATAAACAATTAGTGTTGCAGAAAGTCATCATATTTAGTACTGACATGGACCACCACTATCTCACAATAAGTTGGACACCAAAACTTGTAAGTTAGAGACACATTAGCCTAGGAATAACGTTGTCAAAATGATAATACTGCTAAAGGACTGATGAAAAGCATTTTGTAAAATAATCATGCAAGCACTCGAACAGATGGGAATAACATTCAGCCTAATGCAGCTTTTTCATCATCAGCATCAACAGCCATTAACAGTCCACAGCTGGGCATAGGCCTCTCTTTAGAAATGAGGTTTCGGCCTATTATATCATGCCGGCCAGCGACTTCGGTATAAGGTTTGTTCCAAATCGTCCATATGTTCTTTATATTTTGTTTGCAACCATATACAATAAATGATATACCATTTGACCATATAAAATGAATATCGAATTGACAAAGTACTAACGTGTTTCCTAAACAAGTCAGCGTGTGCAGCTAGCGCCTGGTCGGCCGCGGCGATGAAGCCGATGACGTCCTCCACCGACCAGTCGGCGGGCGGCGCGCCGGGAGCGGGCGGCGGCGGCGCGCCCGTCGTGGACGACGCGGGCTCCGGCCGCTCCGGCGACACCCGCGCCATCTTACCGCTCGAGCACGACTCAGAACCGTTTACGCTGCTACCGGCTAATTCTTCCTATTCATGTCAATACAATTATTATCATTTATCCTCCTCATACTTTTTCCAAAACAGTTTATCATAGGAAACATATGCATAGCGTATGTTTTCTATGATAAACTGTTTCGGAAAAAGTATCAAATTGACTCATTGAATATTTAAGTGTGACCGAATATAATATCTATAATTTATTTATTAAATATATTTAAATGCTGAAATAGTGTAAGTAAAGAACTATAGTTTTAATTTTACTTATTCAAACTCCAATTTGTATCGGTCAACAGTTATAATGCCAAAAATATCAATTACTAGTTTTTTTTTTCTTTTATTATTTTGATTGCCACCCAGGACAACTATTGTGTGATGACCACAATCATTTTTGTTCTGTGTCTGTGGGTGTAAAATATGTATTTATTTAGAAATATATAAGTATGGTCTAGGCTCTGCCTAGTTTGTAATCAGACTGACAGACAGACCGTGTGTGAGATGTGTGAAATTATTATTATTATAAAAGGGATATTTATAAATGAATTTTAACATCAAATAAATTATTTCACTGCAAATAAGCCAATTGTTTAGCTAAACTACTACTAAAAATATTATTATATGTACATTAACAGTGTATTCTACTTTTTCGTCAAATACGAAAAAAAAAGTTGCTTAATGTACGAAAACATATATTTCAAATACATATACTGATTGCACATCAAGTTACCCAGAGCGTACAAACGTAATACTTACACATTTAACAAAATAACTATTTTTGCAACCCATCTAGTCAGTGTAGTATTTTCAGACAATTCCTATTTTTTAAGATTAAGGCGACAACTTCAAAAACGAGCTGCTTCCAGAAAAGTAGGTTAGAACTGTGACCCCACAAGAAAACGAATCGCTATTAGAAACGAGCTATATCCAGAATTATAGGTTAGGTTATAAAAGTTCTGCTTTCCAATTATTAGTGATGGGTCATTAACTCAAACTGTAGCTATAATAATAATAAGGTAAACATTTTGCTGAGCAAACAGTATTTTTGTTAAGATTGGAATTATTTTTTTAATAAAAAAGGATTTCTTATATTGAGGATGGTTTATCAGTTAAATAGTGTTTACCTGCAAATCAAAATATCCTCTTTTATATATAACATACATACAAGTCAATACTAACCTTATTAAAAGGTCTTAGTATTGAGAATTTTAAGAGTCAAACTTACAGTATTGGGCCTTTTAACGCCAGATGATTCTTTATTGGATGATACATTGTTTGATGTAGATTCTCCACAAAGAGTGCAAGGCCTGCCTGCAACTTCTCCTGTGTCAATTTCTATCATGCCAATGCAACAGCCTACACCATTACACACCGCTTTTAACCAATTCTTAAGGTTATCTATAGTTAACTCTGTTGGGACTTTCACAGTATAATTTTTACTTCCAGATGTTACCTGTAATAATTCAAATTGAGAAAAGAAAATTTATTAAACTATCTCAAGGATAGTGCTGAATTTAGAAATGGCTAAATGAATTTCTCCTATACATTTATTTCCCACTTCCTACATTTCACATAGCATCTACAAGTAAACTTTTGTCAGATTCTAATTCTGACATGGCTGGAGAAAATGCCTACAGCATTAACTCCGCCTTTGTGCATAAAGTGTAAATAAAAAAAAAAATTGCATTGTAGGGTCATTGCGCCCGTTTTGCGACCACCTTCAGTAGGCGACCATTTGATAGATTAAGTTCCTTCAAGTCAAAATAATAGTATTTCTAGAAGTAACATTAACTAAAAATAAATCTACTGTGTGCTTTTCGAGACACTTTTTGCTCGTCTAAAGTGAACAACCCAGCTAACTGACACAATGACCCTACATATCCTCCTAGTATCATTGTCTTATAATTTATGTAATTTGATATTTTGGTTTTTCTAACATCTGGCAAGTGTCAAGATGTTATAATTATTATACTATTCTGAAAATATTATAGAGCACTATCAAAATTTCTACAGTAAAAACAAGAACAACACAGTAAATAGACACTTATTCATACAAAATAAAATGTGAAGATTAAAAGGTTAAATGCTTGGCTGCGACAGAAATGTATGTGAACTCTTTTTTTACATAGTGACTAGCAAGTCAAACCCTCTGGTTGTTTGGTATTGTCACTTTGACTGATTTGATTTTATATTACGATAATATATACATAGAAAAGTTGTTTTTTCTGTCATTTGCAATTTTTGTGCCAGTGGTCTAAAATGGTGTGTATAATAGGAACAAAAATAAATTTAAAAAATAACATTACCTGGACATTGGTTATATTAGAATAGCTACTAGATGCAGTGAGTATTGCTCTTGTCAACCTTTGTGGATCTGGATGAACACTAAGCAACTCTTTCACAAGTGCTTCTGCAACACCTGAGGGCCCAGTGGCTGCAACAGCACTTGGCAAGGAACTACTCCCTCCAGAACAGCTGCTACGGATACGAAGACAAACTAAAGGCACTGGGGTAGATGTAGCAGAACTGTTAGAGTTGCCACCCCCAGTTGACCCTCCTTCTGGAAGAGCAGGATTAGGCATTCCACTTGGTCGTAATTTAAATCTGTAATAACATATAACAGAGCTCATTACATCAGTTTCTTAAGAAAATAAAGCTATATCCTTGTATAGTACTGAAATTGTATGTGAATGTAAGTAAAAATTTACCTTGATGGAGTAACAGCACTTTTCTGACCTGGAGGTTGAAGATTGTGTCCTGCCCTAGCACACCAACCTACAGGGAATATATCCCTGGAGTCATACCTACACCAATAATCAAAAGCTCCTCTCCAGCCATCAAATGTTACATGAATCTGATCATTCTTCACTGCTCCAACTGTAGCACAACAAATAAGTTGTGAATTTTTCTTGTCAACAGCTTCTAATTTTTGACCAACAACAAACAGATTAGATTTTGGTGTAGGAGGTTCTGGCTGAAATATTTTGGGTGGTGCCATTTCAGCTCCATTAAGAGTTTTGAGCAAGAACATGGGCCAGCTACTGGCATTCATACGAAAACCCAGTGGAGGCTGCAACATTCCATCATTTTTTTCACAGTGACCAATAGGATGTATGTCACCTGCATCAACCAGACGCCAGAAATCATTTTTATTATCACTACCATCAAGCCTTAGCCTCAAACGTGGTCCAAGTACTCCCACAACGGTAGCAATACATGTTGATGTTAAATTTCGAGGGTCTAAAGCCTCTAATTTCATTCCTACTTTAAAATCGTTTACAGGTGGTACAGGGGCCTGCTTAAAACATTCTTGGGGTGCTGCTGTGCTGTTTGTGTCTTTCATATATTCATTCCAATCGAAAGCTTGATAAATATCATAAAATGAACCTGTGGAATTATTATTTGAATGATTCTCTGATCCATTTGCTCCATTACCAGATTGTGGCGAAATAGTCCGTTTTTCGTTTTTCTTTTGATATTTATTTAAACAGTACGTAGAACAAAAATTCTTGCTACCAGAAGGTGCATTTCCTCGAATAACATTGTCACAATGAAGACAAGCGCCTTTGCTGTAAGCCTGTCTGAACTCTGACAAACAAGTTTCAGAACAGAACTCCTTTTTCCCATTCTCTGTAGGTAATATATACTTAAGAGGTGTTTTACTTTCAGCACACCAAGTGCAAGTACGTTTCGGTGGTCTTCCAGGTCCACGTATTTTGCCGGGAGCAGGCCCCGACGAGCCGACTGTGTTTGACATTGTTCCGTGTTGGAACTTTACCACATTATAATAATCCCAAATCAACTACGAAGAACTTTCTAGGAACATTATAGACAGTGAAACTACAACAATATCCCACTATAGTAAATATAAAATGATGTACTTTTACGCAAATCAAATATAAACATTAACAACGTCAGTACTTATTTATGACGCGCATCTAACGGCCATATTTATTCTTTTGTTTATTTTGAAACTGGTAATATATTTTTAATTTTAATGTAGTCAATTGGGGTAACATTGGCTAACAATGTTCATAAATCTCTGGCCGTCTAAAATTAAAATAAAAAGACGTCAATAAAACTGAATAAGGTACATAACAAAGCTACGTATTAGTATTTATTCTAATAGTAAAAATTAAATTGTTGTATGAAGAAATGTTAGTTAGTTCGATCGTCCTTAAATCTTTTTATTTATTTATTTAATATTTAATACTATTACAACTTCAAAAATACAACAGTATGATAATTGTTGCAGTAGCAGAAACTGTGTCGCAACTATTAACACCGTCTTCCGAATATGTGTAAACATTACAGTAAAAACAAAATAGTCCAAACAGTAAAAATAAAAATTTCAATATTAGTTTGTAATTGCAAATGTATTCATTCAAAGTAAAAACAAATCACCACAGTAACAAAACAGTAAAGTCAGTCAGTCCTGGAGCATCATCATTAGAGCCGTGATATCTGGAGCCGCTGACGATGTGGACGAAGTGGCTTCCATTGCTGTCTGCTGACCCTCCAATGTAGGCAGTTGTGCACCTCCAAATCGCCTCTGGTCAGCCTCTTGCTGGTGCTGGCTTCTCGTAGGGGTTCCGTGTCTTCTTTGGGTAAAACCGACATACTTTTATCCCACTTCTGACACCAAATTGTTACGAGCGGGGTATATAACAAATAAAAGTTGTCGGTTAATTACTTCTATTGCACTGTATTTATTAACACTCATTATAACAAACAAGAAATCACTCTATTACTTGCCAGTCCCGTTAGAAATTTGCTGTATTATAAACCGATGATGTGTCGAACGGCCAACACGCTCCGCTTTTATAGAGCTATCGAATTTACTAGAAAGATCCCTAATATTCGATAGTCCCTTCAAGACAAATAAGAATATTCCAGTATCGGTTAAGCGTTACTTGCAGCGCCATCTAGCGCTGTAAAGTATCAGAATTATTAAACATAATCTCAGTAGTCGTACTTTACTCGATCCTGTCCTGTCCTCCACATTCCATACAATTTTAGAACAATTAAACCATATCCTGTGGCGCAACAATACTTTTATTGTCTGAACGTTATTACATGTTTTTTTTATTGTCTGTAAAACTCATTCAATATTTTCGCAGTCTTGTACACAGTGTCTAAATTATTTAAGCCAATATAATAATAATAAGTTGTTGCCCGCGACTTCGTCTGCGTCTATTTCTGTTATTATGATCGCGATAAAGAAGTTTTTAAAATAATGTTTTAAAGTACTTCTGCGTAAATGATATTTTTCGTTTTATTTTCTTGTGGCAGAAGAACATACTGATTTTCTCCGCAACCGATCCCGACAACGCTACATATAGTTGGCCGTGTGAAAAGCAGTCTTGACGTAAATCAATTCCTACCTGTTTAAATGTTTGCCCCTGTGATTTACTAATTGTTACGGCAAAAGATAACTTAACAGGAAATTGAATTCTTTTAAAATTAAAAGCTAAATCATTTGGAATCATTGGGATGCGAGGTATAAGCATTGTTTGACCAACTGCTGGACCAGTCAAAACTATTGCAACGATCACATTATTGCGAAGAAATTTGACTTGAAGTCGGGCCCCGTTACATTAATTTGGTGGTTTAAGATTTCTAAGTAAAATTATTGGGTCACCTATTTATAACTTGAGGGAATGTGGGGGAAGGCCACTCGGGTTTAAAGAATAAAGAAACTTCTGTGATAAACTCTCGGTAATGAACCGCATCTTCTTGATCCATTACATTAGCAATAGATGTGTAGGTAACTATATCTGCTGGAAGTTTAGTTAAAATTAGGTCGTCAATTTCGTCAACTCTACTGTTTCTCGCCGCCAACATTGCCCTTTGACACATCCATTGATAATCTTTATTTTCTATTACAGCAATCCAGCAAACATAACAGTACTCACCACCACCACCCATGATTTTATCACAGCTTCTAATATCTCTAAGAGTCCTATCTAGAGCTTCTACATGAGTTATATAGATCATGGTACATTCGTCCCAGATTATTAAATGACGTCTTGCAAAACTTTTCCCAAAGGGCCATTTTTACGAATAGAGCACACGCTAACTTTCTGTAAAACAACAGTTAGAGGCAGTTTAAGAGTGGAATTAGCTGTGCGTCCACCTACTAATAAAGTTGCAGCGCTTCCTGACAACGCTACTGCCAAAGCTAGTTTTCCCTGAGCTCTTACTTTTGCTAATATCAGATTAGTAATGAAAGTCTTGCCGGTTCCACCTGGAGCATCCAAAAAAATATTTTTTCTTCATTAAAACGAACACTGTGCATAACACCATTGTACGCCGTCACCTGGTCATTAACTAATTTTCGTTCATTTTCAGTAATATACTCATATGATTTATTTACATCACACGGCTTTCGCAACGCTACTTCTAACGGATCCAAATTATTATGTGAATTATTCCTTTTTGATGCAGGAAGCCCAAAATCAGTTAATGATTTATCGCAAATCTCATGAATCTTATCTTCAATTATGATAAGACCATTGTATATATCATCACTATATGCTAATATCATATCCTGATTCTCATTATGCATTCTGTTTAATATAACTTCATATAAATCATTACGAAATTTATTCCATAACTCTAAGGGGTCAGATGGCTAGCAAAATATGAGGATGTTGGTAAATAATTTTCTTAATTTTGTGGCTGGCTCGGACATGACAGCATCTGACATGGTATTTTGCCAATGTTCATCTCCCTCCAGTAAACCTAATTCCTTGCAAGCGCCTTGATTGGTTTGGAAAATAACACCATTAACGGCCCTTAGATGTTCAAACGACATTGGACCGCGAACATGTTGTAGTAAAATCCTTGAATGTTGAAGACACGGCCTAAAGGTTCAAAAAGCATTTCATAAGGTCGATCACTTGCTCTTATTGGATAAAATTGCATTAAACGGTATACGTGAAAATTTGCTTCGTTGGTTTATGTCATATATTTTTAATAGAACACAAAGGGTCGTTGTTAATGGATATCGTTCTTACCCTATAGTTGCTAGCTCCGGAGTTCCACAGGGGTCGATACTGGGACCGCTACTTTTTATAATTTTTATCAATGACACAAAACATTGCTCGAACTTCTTAATGTACGCGGACGATATTAAAATTTATAAATCATTCAAAAATATTCAAAACTGTCACCTTCTTCAATGCGACCAAAAACGTTACGTTACGTTACGTTCACCAAAAAATTAAACAAACTAAACTTTTCATACTCCATTAATAAAGTACCTTTAAACAAAGTAAATTCGGCTCGTGGTCTAGGGATGTTATTAGACTCTTCTCTGCATTTTGACAAACACATTGACACTATAATAAACAAAGCCTATCGCATGTATGGCTTTGTTCTAACATCCACTTGTGACTTTGTGCGACCCTCCACACTTTTGATGCTGAACAAAACGCTAATACGTTCTCTATTAGAATACAATATACCTGTATGGAACCCTTTATACACCAAACATTCTTATAGACTGGAGTTAGTGCAGAAAAAATTCTTACGCTCAACCTACTACAAATTTACGCAATCTAGATTATTTTATATTGAATTGTTAAATCATTTTAATCTTCCAAGCCTAGAATCTAGACGTATACTTCTTGATGTCATGATGCTTCGTGGTCTGTGCAATAATAGATTTGACTGCTCCCTTTCCTTCGTCGAGGTGTGCGGCAATTCCAACTTTTTCACACGACATCATGCAGAACTAACGTACAACAAATATTTCTCTGACATTCATATCCTTGCTCTTTCTAATTGTAATAACCAATTTAAATGTTGCGTTATTAAATTATTAACCGCCTTGCCAACTGAATAGAATGCATAGAATTGTATCATATGTATTTCTTAGATAGATAGATAGATAGATAGATATTTCTTAGATCTGAACTTAAGTGTAATATATCGTGCTTGTACATTTACATATTATATTTATATATATTTATAGTATCTGCGCTCATGCGCATTTATAGTAATATTCTGATTTGTTTGGCCAGCGTGGTATAGTAGGCCAAAACCTCCTTTCTAAGGAGAGGCCTATGTCCAGCAGTGGACTAGTATAGGCTGTTGATGATGATGATGAAATTTCCTCTTATTAATTCGTGAACAATGGTGTGGGTTATGTGTTTATACCTACCTCTGTAATATATTTTTATATAGTTTTAAGACTTTAACATGTAACTGTTTTTTGTTCCTAATAAACAAAATAAAATAAAGTTGTGTCGTTGTGAAAAAATCGTTTTTCATCGTTGATATCGTATCTAATATCCAAATGCGTATTAATGTTGTTAACAAAATGCACCCGGTCCATTTTTTCAAAAGCAATATGGCGACCTAATGCTAAATTGTTAATTTGAAAGTTTAGAACGGTGTAAATCCTGTCGCCGAAAATGGATCTTGATAAAACCAAACCTCCATTGTATGAGAGGCCTATGTCCAGCAGTAGACTGTTAAGGGCTGTTGATGATGATGATGAATAACAATTAGAATCGGTAGGTATTTAATTTAATTACGTTAAATTTTTTAAACAAAGAAATATTTATATTAATCAAATGCATTTTATTGCACACCATGAAAAGTGTTTTTTTTTTAATAACAATAAAATTAATTGGTAAAAGAAACTTGACGTACTTAAAATTAATGTTAATACCTACCGATTCCAATTGGTTTTCCAAATTATTTTGCAATTAAAAAGTATCGTCTTGACCACGTCCATTTTAACTTTTTTAATGGATCATTGTGCGGGCAATAAGCTTTAAGTTTCCGCCAGACTTCATTAAATTCCTAAACACCGCAATTTCGTTTTTATATAGGTATAGAAGTATACATAGATAAAAATCGTTTTGTAAGTGTTCTTCAGAATCATTTCATGAATATTCTTAGTTTATTTTAAGACATGGCATCTTAAACACTCGTTCATCAATGGATAGGGATAGGGATAGAAAGGCTGGTAAAAATGAGTCTTACTGCACAACAAATGAACAAGAACAAACTCATGGATGTGTATTTCTTTAGATAATTTTTTGATGTTATGTTTATTTACTTTTTACGAAAATGTTCTAAAAAAGCTTCAGATACTTTTGATAAAAAAAGGTGTGATTTTGTTTCTAAATGCATAGTCATATTTCCTTTCAATAGACTATTAAAATTGGCAAGTTTGGCAACAATGGCAACACTTTTCTAGGCTCGAGCTCGAAACTGTATATTTGTTTGAGGTTATGTTAAACTTAGCATATCTTTTCAAAGCATCATAACCTAGTTTTACTCATGATATGTTAACTTGTTTACTAAAAAAAAGTATGTCTCACAATACGATTCAAAGAATGATAAACAATGCTGAAGTTGCAGAAAAACGTTTAATAGAATTAAAGTCCAAGGTTAGTCAAATACAATGTAATCTATGTAATGAATGTAATTACAATGTAATGTATGGTGACCTCTCCTGTGGACTTATAGAAAATGTTACTTAAAGTAAATTAAATTATTATAATCATTATTTTTTATACCGTTACGTTTTCCTAAAGGGCCTATCTTTTGTTAATGTTGTACTTAGTAAGTGTAAAAAACAAAATATAGGTTGGGATTACAGCTACTATTGAGGGACTGAAGATGAAGTCGTTTAATTAGTTTATTAGTAGGTACATAAGTAATGAAAATTAAATGGAAATTGTGACTGGTTTCTATCAATCAGTAAAAGAAAATAACAGGTTCTTTCAAAGATGTGCGGATCAAAACTAGAGGACAGAACTAGTACTATTAGAGAGGAGAATATGCAATAGAAAGAGAGAAAATTAAAAATTTGTAAACTAGAAAGGTACAATAAATTTAGTTATCAAGTATTTTAATTAGTATAATAAATATTAACTTTAAGTGAAAATGTTTGCAACTATTAGAATGTGCTTAATAAATAACTCAAAAAAAATGTTTTTTTTTTAGTTTTAAAGTATACTTTGGTACTATTATTTGTTGAAAAACTAAAAAAACTAATAATAGTCCACTGGGTGAGACCTCAGATTTGTGGGCTCAATCTTGTAAAATTTTATATGTATGTATCTATTTAGTATATTAATCTAAATTCTATCTATAAGAGCCAGACTGATAGGAGGGCAGCAGAGAGGATTTTTTTAAGACACTCGAAAATAAATATTAACTATTGCTATAAAATGCATACATGTTCCAACATGATAAAAAATGCTTGTGCTGCCTTGGACCATTTGTATACACTTTTGCCAAGTCTATTTCTGAGTGTCTTAAAAACTTCTCTCCACTGCGCTTCTCTCTGTCTGCGCAGGCCCTAATTAGACATATTACAAACAGATACAGAACAAATGATTGTGTTCTTCATACAATATTTAGCTGGGTAAACATTAAATTGCTCTTCTGCAAAACTAAGTATCTTCAATTTTAAGTCTTTTGATAGGGAGTGTTGATCTGTGCTTGTAAAGTCATGATAACACTAATGAATCTTCTAGGACATCCTAAATTATATTTAGACTGTCAAGTTTTTTAAAGGACTCTGAGGTGCATTTATATTTATATCCTTTCCTCTAGAGGTTTGATTTGCTATCTTTCTTTCAATATAGGAGTCATGCCTATGTACTGTATGAGCTGCACAAGCCATTGTAGCAAGATTCAATACAATGGCTATAATGCCATCTTAATCTAACATTCGGTCCCAAATTAGATAAGACTTAGGGAAGCAAGTTTAGAAGTCCTTATTGGAGATCACTGAACATTGTTGCGGTCAGTCTATGCACAGAAGACATTGCTGTCCTGTTTACACTTGTTCACCCTCTAACTCATGACCTCAGTTCGCGCTTGCGCGACGTATGCATATACCAAAGCTTGGACAAGCCAAAAGTCTCCTTTCTTCCCCTTCGCCGTCTTCTACGCCTCTAACAAATACGAACTACAAGAAAGGGTGCAAAACGTCGAAGAGTCCATGGGCAAGTTTCATATTAATAAAATACGGCGGAATATGATGCGAGAGACGTCTCAGTACAGTTAACTGATGGATATTCTACCAACACATATAAGACTTAATACGTATTAAAGGATACGTCTTTAGAAATACCTTGCAATAATATGCCACATTGATAACTGAAAATTTCAATTTTTTTGTCACCAATATTACAGCCCGAGCTTTTAAATTACATGTTTATGTACATACTAAATGGCATCGAGAAAAGGTATATAGCAAGCACTGAACAAAGCCACAGTTGTACTACTATACCATTATTTTTCTTTTATTCTAGGTACATATAATGCAAAACACTATTTAGATATATGGATTGTAGATATAGTTAGTTCTGTCTCTGAATGTAAAATTTTGTCAAAGGGCTTTATTGAGGTGGTAATAGACAAAGTAGAAGGAAGTAACTACGGAGAAACTTCTGCTTTGTAATAGGGCACTTAAAACAAGGATAACGTAACTTGTTGAGTTATATGTAATAAAGTTTTGTATATTTTTTGCTTAATTCTTTTTTTAAATACCTATCACCTATTTAAATACAAATTCACCTCCATGTATATTATATATATATATACACAGTGTGATAAATTTAATTCAATAGTTAACATTGTAAAAGGTTACACCTAAGGTATCTTCATATTAATGTAAATTCCAGGTAGGAGAATTAAAGACTGCAAAAATTGAAGAAAAAATTAGAGATCTTACAGAGGAAAATAAGGTACTTGAGTCCAAAATTGAATCTACTAAGGCTGAATTAATAAAATTAGAAACGGCAAATGGAAAAAAACAGTACCCAATTCCTAGCAAATGCATCCCAAGAACTGTAGTGCAAGAATCTATAGAACCTTCTAAAGATTCTTTAACAAAAAAGACCAAGGCAGCCGATGTTTCTTCTGATAGTAACTTATCGAAGAAAAAAGAAAAGGGGGCTGGAGCCGTCAATGATGCCGTCATTGACATTCGAAAGTTAGATTTCAGAATCGGAAAAATTATTGATATTAATAAACACCCTGATGCCGACTCTTTGTATGTAGAACAAGTTGACTGTGGTGAAGACAAAGCTCGGACAGTGGTATCTGGACTTGTAAAATTTATACCCATGGAAGAATTAAAAAACAAAATGGTGGTGATTCTCTGTAACTTGAAGCCAGTCAAGGTATGTATACAAACGTAAGAAGTTCAAATCTGCGCAACTGGTGGTGTCATTGTAAATTTTCATTGCTCTAACTGCCACTGCATTGTTAACATACTTTGTGTCCATTGATTACGTATTTTTGAAGGCCCTACAACACAGGGGTCAGTTTCTTGTGAGACAGGCAGAACTCCTACAAAGAACAAACTCAACTCAGTTATGATTATAATAAACATGTTAGACTGTTGAACATGAGGTTGTCAGTTTAAACCAAACTCAGGCCAAGTTCGGTTTTAAAAATGTAAAATTATTTATGTCATTATTAATTAAAGAAATGTAGGACCTTAACAGGACGTAAATGGTCGACTTTCGCCTTTTTTTTTAATTTACAGAAAAGTTATCAGGCTATTAGTATAGTTCATTGCTGCTTAACTTTGTAAAATTACGTAGATAAAATCAAAATTCTGGAGTCAATTTTCCATACTTTACGCGACGCCAGTTTTTGAATTCATAGATTGAACAGTGGCACAAATCAAATGAAAAAATAAAATATAATAATGTAATCTCACATAATAAAGTGCATAGCGCACATGGTTCATCCTCCTGTAAGGATGAAAATTTGTACCTACCAAGTCAATGTTCTTATAAGTATGTGTGCGTTACCCCAGCAAAATAATGTCGAAGTTATTGAAGTGTTATAGATAAATGAAATTATTTGCCCAGCTTCTGTAATTGTTGCACACATTTTTAAAGGACAATGGCAGGCATGTCCATACATAGAGATACGCAAGGCGGTACAAAAGTGTCATGACTTTTGTACCGCCTTGCGTATCTCATTTTAGGTATTATTGTTGTATTTATTTGGCTGGTAATATCATCAACAATTACAGTTTTAATTAACAGACTTTTAGAACTTTGCTTTCAAAAATTATTTCAGTTTCTAGTTTGCAAATAATCTTAGCTTTTATTTAGCTTTACTGAAGTCGATATTAATGACAGTTGGCTGTCAGAAATGAGTTGTCATTGCTGTCAACAAGTTAACATAGATGTCTTTCAAAATCATACGTTTTAGATTTTTTTGATCTGTCAATAAAATGATGCCCTGTCGTTTCAGTTTATTGTAATTACTTTTTTTACATAGTGTTCACGATCCTAATCTAATCGATTTGAATAAAAGTTATTAGTACCTTTCCTTAAAGTAATTGATTTAAAATAATCATTCCTTTATTACTTCATCTAATCTGTACAGTCAACATTATTAACTAGTGAGCTCATTCATTGATCTCGATGTAAACATATCGTTTATTATGTAATTTATGTTTTATGTATGGCAAGTTTAGAAAAGGTAGGAATGCGTTTTGTTAACAACACTTGTTTAGTTATTGCAGTTGTAACAATTCTTTGAGAAGAATTTATTTACTTCTGAAGTTCTAAAAATATGATAATCACATGAAAAAAGTTGGGATTATTCACTTTATAAACGGTACAAATTTTATAATCATCCATCATTATTACAAGGGGTACAGAATCTGTCGTTCTCCTTTTTTGCACTTATAGTTTTTTAGTTATTTCACAAAATCATTTTCTGCTGGCGTAACGTTACCGCCACCAGACATTTTCTTTTTAAATTGGAAGATTGAAATAAATATTAGCTATACACGGTGATTTTATAGGCGTTTTGGAAACGAAACATTTTAATTTGTAATCATCTATAGTACCAATAAAAATGGTTAAATCAATTATTATGTTGACTAAAAAAAAGTTTTAGTTTTAATAATGATTTTTACTCGATCGACTTGGAAACTAGTAATGCGCTGATCATTCGTTCATTATCTTACTCGTATATGAATGAAACACGTACGTGCGCGTTTCGGCGGCCGCTGCGCACCGCTGATGCTAACAGCAGCTGATAAAAGTATACCTATAGGCGCGAGCTAGCGAGTGCTTACGTAGATAGACTCCAGTTTGTCCTTCATACTTTACACGGGCTTAGGACCGTCGGAAATACCTATTTTATTTAAACTTCTTTTCGATTATTAACCACGATTGTTCTTTTCACAACAAATCAATTTATCAACGGACTGTAGGTATAAATATTTCAGGCGTATTTAAAAAATCGGAGCTATCTACAGAATAATTAACTTACATACCTATTTACAGTTTATTTACACTATTTACACTTCTCTGTATCGAAGCAACTGCTCAAAACGGAGCTCGCTGCGTTCAATACACAAACGTCCACGTTTAATGCAATTGTTTTTTAATTTTCTTAATGTGTCTCTGTCACTTTTCACTTTATCAAAAGCGTCCACTATCGCAATGCGTAAATCATCACGGCTTTCATATTCCCGTGTATAAACAAGTCTTTTTATTTCCGACCATAAGAAAAAATCCAGGGGCGTTAAGTCCGGGCTACGGTTCTACACACGACAGCCGTCGTGTTGGTAGTACATACCTCTAGTAAGCTAACGGCACATCGTCTACTAACTCAGATATTACTGTCCTTAACATCTCTAAGTACGAGTTGCCGGTTAGATGACCTTCAATAAAAATAGGCCCTATTAATTGGTCGTTAATAATACCGGCCCAAACGTTCACACTGAAACGAACCTGGTGATGGTTTTCTCGTATCAAGTGGGGGTTAATTAGAGCCCAGTAATGCTCATTGTGCACATTGTATAGTCCCACTCGAGTAAACAGTGACTCGTCCGTCCAGAGTATTTTGGCGTTTGTATTATTTAACAACCACTGGCAAAAGGCGATTCTTGCCGGTGCGTCAGTGTTGTTTATTACGTGAGCCTTACGAAAATGATACGGATGTAATTCTTTGTGTACGTAATATCTTCCATACGAAGTTTTGGCTAAAATTGAATTCTCGTGCTGCCATCCTTGTGCTCCGCCGGGGATCGCGCTCGAAGTACTCAAGAACATCTTCTTCGAACTCCGGCGAAAAATAATTTAAACGTCCTTGACCTTGCGCATGAGTAGGCACACGAAATTGTCCGTGGTCGAGAAGACGTTAAGTTGCAGCCAAGATAGGTAGGTAGGTGGATGTGGTAGGTAGGTGTGGAGGGAATTTGAGGGCTTTCAATTCCAGTAGCCGTAGTGCATTTAAATGCCCCGGCTGGGAATACAAACGCCGAGCCTCTTCCAAGTTGTAGTTGGCAGTAGCGTACAGCTGTACCATTGCCAATTACTCCACGTTTGAAAATTCGTACTGTCGACTCATTTTAGCGCTAATCAATGTAGCGTGCCGTCACGATGTTATGGTATTACTGACCGACTGAAAGCGAAGGACGCCTCACGATTACAGGTGAGTCCCGCGCATGCGCCTACGGGGCATACGACTTAGTGCAATGCCGTCATTGGTTGGACGACTCCGGCGCAACTCGGTAGCTTTGTTTTTATTGGCGACTTTACTACTGGATTACTACTGGTTCGGGTAAGCGGTCGTCCCACACTGCGCTTTCCAGTACGTGGTCTCCATTGGAGAACCTTGCTGCCCCATCGGCCGTCAGTTCTCCTTGCTATGTGCCCTGCCCATTGCCACTTGTTTGCCGGAAACCGTTGGATGCAGGCCGCAATCAACCGTCCCCGCTGGAAATCATTGGGAGAGGCCTATGTCCAGCAGTTTACAAGCATAGGCTGAGGTATACTACTGGTTCCAAAACGCTTTCAAAATCACCGTGTATAATTACTCGTAGTTGTCTAGACGAGGTAAATGTTGCAACTTGTTTGGTATTTGTTTTCTCTTCGGCTGCGAATTTATTTGAGATCCTGCTGGAGTAATGTTTGTGGGTAAAGCACCGTTTAAAGATTATTTAATTAAGTACATAAACACTTCGATACGTCCTAACACTTTGAATAAGACCTCTAAAGAAGTCTTTAGAGGTGTTACAAGCTACAAAATAACGTTTAAAGTAAGTACTTGAAATGTTATTTTGTAGCTTGTAACTGCCTTCAAATGTATGTCAAGTTTCATTAGTATTCTGTAAGTAATTAATAAACTATGATCAAAAGTAGTTCTTCACGTTCACGGCCACGGCGCGTGGAATTATTTGACCACCGATGAACCTGTGTGTGGATATATAAACTGAATGTTATATTAATAATTAGTGGCTTAGTTGAGTTGTATACCTGTGAAATTTCAGCGTAGTACATACAATAAATAATAAGATAAAAAAAAACCGGTCAGATACGAGTCGAACTTGTGCGCAAGGGTTCCGTGCCTACCCAGGTTTTACGTAGATTTTCGTACCAATTTTACGTACCAAAATTTATGTTAATTTATAACTTTTTGTATTTTCTGGAATTATTCCTTTTATACTCACAAGTTTTCGCGAAAATCGAAATTTGCCCATTTCTTTTTATCGTGTTGACTGAGGACCTTGATTTTTATACGCCTAATAAGGACCTTACACCTCAGTATCTGGCATAAATTTCAACTTGCTAGGTCTACCCGTTCCTGAGAAAATCGGTGGTGACACACGGACTGACAGACAGACGGACACACGGACAAGAAAGTGATCTTATAAGGGTTCCTTTTTTACCTTTTGAGGTACGGAACCCTAAAAAATAAAAGTCATTGGGAAGTGCAAGCCCATGGTAACCCGGCCATGTTTAGGTTGTTACAAAAAGCGATTGCGTAGTCCATTATACTGTCTGTCCTCCAGACATAAATACATCGTTTAAAGTAAGTCTTTAGAGGTCTTATTTAAAGTGTTAGGACGTATTACAATTGCACCTCATAAGACGGAAGCCTTGTGGTTCCACAGGAAACGCAGAGGAGCATTTCCCTCCCGTTCGCTTATTGGAGTTGGGGGAAGTTCGCTGACTCTACTGTGCGGTCATACGATCCATGAGCGTCGATATGCTTCAGGAGCGTTGATAATCAAGCGCAGCGTGTAGCGGCGGAGGCGTCGACAGTCCTGGCGCGTTTACCGCCTTGTGATATCCGGTCTATGACCAGATTCGCGCGATCCGCCGTTGTGAGAGCAACGAACGCTCACCGACAGGCACTAGTGCAGGAGTTGAAACAGCCACGGTTCTGCCTAACCTTGCCTAAACTTGGTTATGTAGGGAGGCAGGTCGCGTCATCTACCGACTGACGCAGGCAGGCCGTCAAGGTGATTTTGTGAAAACACCACATACTCCTGGCTCCGGTGTACACTAGAAGCCGGAGATCCGAAAGGATTTTCCACCCCGTCACCAAAAAAGAAAAAATATGTTGAAGGGTTTTTATACTTAATTAAATAATCTTTAAACGGTGCATTATTTTTGTTATTATAGATTGCACAACAAATTAAAAATAATTCTAAAAAAGTTATGTACAAAAGATGATTAGAATCCGCTTACCCGTTTCAGAGATCCAGCAAACCCACAAACGTTGCTCCAGTAGGATTTCGAATAACTTCGCAGCAGAAGAAAAAACAAACACAAAATAAGTTGCAACATTTACCTTGTCTAGACAACTAATTATATAGCTAATATTTATTTCAATATACGAATTAAGAAAGAAAATGTCTGACTACGGTAACGTTACCCCAGCAGGAAATGATTTTGTGAAAAAATTATAAGTGCAACAAAATTAAAAGTGTGCGCTACAATTACAGAAGCTGGGCAACTAATTATCTAAACTATATAAATGACATTTTGGACATTATTTTGCGGGGATAAGGCATACCAGAAAGATTCAAAACTACATACAATTAGGACCGGATTAACCATTTCGAGGCCCTTGGGCAATGCAATCCTCGAGGCCCCTTTTTTTTTTGAAGATTTAGGCTTTTGTGAGTCGATGAATGGTTGTGAGTAATAGCATCAGCAGCATCACCTGACTGTTGCGTATTTCCTCAGGAACTTACAGCAAAAGCGGGGCCCATATTCAGTTGCTTACTCTGCCTAAATATCAATCCGCACAGCATACTATCACAATTTACACGAGCAAGCTGACAAGCGGGTAGCTATTTTAAAAAAGGAAATCAAACAAGTAATTTTAAATTAGAAAAGTATCAAGTTGCTTAGTTTTGTGAATTCTAAATATCTAATTTTGTAAAATCAAAATTTTCAGATGAGGGGAATAACCTCAGAGGCAATGGTTATGTGTGCTTCATCTCCTGAGAAAATAGAAGTTTTAGAACCGCCTGCTGCAGCTGTCCCTGGTGATTTAGTTCACTGTGAAGGTTTCCCACGAGAACCAGAATCTGTACTTAATCCAAAAAAAAAGATATTTGAGGCTTGCGCCCCTGATCTCATGACAAATAATGATAAAGTTGCATGCTATAAAGGAAGTCCATTAGTAGTTCCGGGTAAAGGACATTTATTAGCTCCCACATTGAAAGGAGTTAATATAAAATAAATTTGAATATGGTGACGATAAAAACAGTTTATGGCCATTGTTATCAGAATCGGGCAGAAAAAAAATAACTCTATGAAATAAAAATAGATCCCAATCTTGTAAGTGTATTTACTATATTTTTAACAATAAAGTATCAAGAAGTGTATTTATTATATTTTTCACAATAAAGTAGAAAGAACAAATCATTTTTAGTTATTTTCCTCTTGAATCCAACAATGCTTATGGACCGAATAAAATCCTACAAAAGGCTACAAACTGCCAGGGAAATCTGATCACGCAACGCCATGTGAAATCCGACCATGTTTCGATGCCTTTAAATTAAACAAAAAAAATATAGACGCCATCAGTGTTGTTCCCGTACGCATAAACGGCATAAAACGGCAATCTTAACCCTTTTCCCTTACGAAATGGCAGTACTTAAAAAATACGGAACTTAAAATTATGGAACTTGACACCATACGAACAATATTGCAATTTTTAAAATAATTATGATAATATTATGGTAGTTGTTAAAATGTTAGATTTCGAATACGGCAACCCTTAATTTCACAGGAACAACACTGGACGCCATTTTGTTTACCTTATTCGTCCTTCAACCTCTGAAGTGTTCGAATGCGTCCGTTGTGTCTTGATACAATTTCAAGTGCTATTTGTTATATTTCCGTTGAGTTTGTTTCTGTTTGTTTGTTTTTTGTTAAGTTTTGTGGTTTTGTTACGTGGCACTGGGCACAAGTGGAACAAGCACTGGGTGGACACCAGTGTGAAATCATCACGTCAGGCTTTCTTAGAAGGGTTAACCACTGGGTTAAAAGGGCCTTCAGGCAAGGGGAGACGACTTGTAGTGTCCCATGTTGGAAGCGAAGAGGGTTTCGTGGATGATGGTCTATTAATATTCGAAGCGAAAAAGGGGCTAGATGATTACCACAAGGAGATGACTTCTGATATATACGAAAACTGGATAAAAAATATTTTTCCGAAATTAAAAGGAAACGCAGTACTTGTTATAGATAATGCTCCATATCACACCAGGAGACTGGAATCGTTACCTACTTCTAGTTGGCGAAAAGGGCAAATCCAAGATTACGATTAAGATTAGATCACGGCGGTACTAAGTCATTATCTGAATCTGATTATTAATAATATTTATTTCCCGCATCACAAAGGTTCATGTAATTGTGTGGAGGTCTCATTCTTTTTCGTAACCACTGATATGATTTCAAAGAAAATGTAGACAGTATTAATAAAGCCCTAAGGCTTGGACTTCACGACCTACAGAACTTAAAAGCTAGGGCCGCGCGGTCAAAACATGGCGAACTGCGCGGCCACGAAGTTCTCTTAAACGGAGCTTAGTAGAGGTCCCATTCTTTTTCCTAACCACTGATATGATTTCGAAGAAAATGTAGACAGTATGATAAAACCCTAATGTTATGACTCCGCACTCCTATACGTTAGCGCAAGATTCGCGAAAGGTATAATCTAAAAGAAAAGGTGATCTTTGATAAAAAAAACTTGATTGATTTTATTTATTTATTTAATTATAAAAATATTATTTATAATTTCCAAGTCTAGTTTTCTTTTCTGTTCGGACGGCAAGCACGTGCCGGGCGGGTGGTTACACATTACACGTTTTGCGCGCACTTAATTCAACATTCGCAAATTTAAAGGAAAGGGACTAATTCACTAAAAATACTGAAATATGTAGGTATTTATTATTTAACACAAGGAGTCCCTATTATATCGCTTTCAGACCTTTAGCATTAAAATTTGCGGCAGTCTCATACAAAGTACTATCCCCTAGTTTGAGGGGTTGGGGGTGAAAAGTTTCAAGTTTTATAATTTTTATGTTGTTTGTATATACTAGCTTACATACCAAAGAACAAGGGCAGAAACATATTTACCTAAAACTGAAGCGTTTAAAAAACTGACTAACAGTAATTTTAATAATCCCTTGGCGTTACGTAGAGATGTGGCTTCACTCTGCATTCTCTATCGCATATATTATGGAGAGTGCTCCGAGGAATTGTTCGGACTAATACCGCAAAATTTTCATCCTCATTACCTGAATGGTTGGCGCTCCACTACTGTGCGCTTTCTGAAACACTTTTTGCCCCGCACAACCAATCTGTAGAACGGGTTATCGTCTGCGGTATTTCCGGACCGATACGATGTTCAAACCTTCATAGAGCGTACTCCTTTCTAAAAGGCCGGCAACGCGTTTGTGACTCCTGAGTTGCAGACGGCGATAGTCACTTTCCATCAGGTGACCCGTCAGCTCGTCCGCCCTCTCTAACATTTAAAAAAACCAAAATATTTTTCCTATGATTTATTATTATACCCCATGTGTGTATAAGTCTTATAAAAGATAGGATATTTTTAAAGATTTTATTTGACCTAAGTACGTAATTTCAGAATCGCCATCACGTATATCTGACTAGGGATGCGTGATGGCATTATTATATTTTGGAACGTTTTATCGATAATCGATTGTTAAAACTTTGGCTTAAATATCTATCGAAGGTGACCTATTATGATTTGAATTTGCTTCTGCCCACGGATTCACTCTTACGCTACCGTAACTAGTACCGTAGTGACTAAATCAGTCTAATTAGAAATTATTTAGAATATTTATGACTCTTTTCAAAAGATTTTTGCTACACCAAATAAATAGAATATAGTTACGTTATTTTCCTACGGAAAGATACTAAAATAATATACTGCTCAGTGTGATGAGAAAAAGAAATTGTAGGTCGATAACGGCACATAAATAGACAAACATCGATATTTTCAAAATGTCGATACGTCTTCGGTTGGATCCTGTCGAGTTCCGCACTCACTAGTCCTGTCGTTACTTAGTTACAAGCGTGGCTTACATACTATTTCTCACACGGCAATTCTAGTTTGTTTGGTTGTTTTATTTTTGTTTAGTATTAAACTCTCATACATATTTTTCTATTCTTAATTTCATATAGTGTTACTCCATTATGCATGACGTGATGCCTTAAAATGTTGTGCATTAATCTCAATATAATGGATACATGCTTTAGATTTTAGTAAATAATGTCACAACTACTGGCTGTCAAATAACTAAATAAATAAATAAATGCTTCCGCCTTGTAAAATATCTATAAATGTGTATTGAAGTACATTTATACAAATTATTATTAATAATTTATTTATTTATAGCTAGTATTACAAATACTTGGTAGGCGAAGATTTTTTCAATTGTTTACCAATACATGCGAAGCAAATAACCTTCATCCTTTTAGAGAGTTGCCTAACACTAAAATAGGGTTGCTTATGAGTAATAATAATGATAATAATATTTTCGAATATATGACACACAACGCCATCTAGTTCAAACAAAACATTGACAATATTTTAGTACTTAACCTCGAAATATTCAAAATCCAATATCTTTTTTCCTAGACTTCTTTCGCTAGTAATTTTGTTATGAGAATGATCAAGAATAAATTCTAAAGGGTTATAATCATTTTTGATATTTAAACGCTGTCATTTCACTTCAAATAAAATTATGTATGGGGACCTGCCATTGTCTTTTCAGTTTTCTAGGACTTCAGAAAGTACCGAGTCTGTAAAAGAAGTGAACCCCTATGAAGAGGTAACGTTGGAGCCCCTCGCTGCTGAACTCAATGATGCGGTTGAGTTGTTGGACACACGAGTGATTCGAATTTTTAAACAAATAAAAAATATGCCTAACATAAAAAGAACTGTGTTAGGAAGTATGCACACATAATTACACAATATAAACAATTCCTTAATTCTATAGATATGCTTAAGGTTGACATCTAGGATTTATATTAAGTAATTGCGATTACTTCATATAAATCCTAGTAGTATAGGTATCAGAAACCGAAAGCAAAGAAGTACTTTGCTTTCAGCTTCTGATACCTACGAAGATTGAGGCTAGTGCGTTTACACAACAATGCAGTTGCTACAACTACAGCTCTAGTGGATATTGCCTTATGAGTTATAGTTATAGACCAGGGTTGTCCAGTCAATGACACTATAATAATGGCAGATTTCTCGGGATTTAGACGCGGAAATGAGAGGATAAAGGCCGCTTGCCGAGCCACGATGACTCATTGGTCGTCCAGGCTGGAAGCTCCACGTACTGGCTTTGGCGCCGTGGAGGCGGTCCAGCCGGTCATAGTCTAAGGGGCAGGTCAGCACGTTTGACTTCTGACGTCCATCCTGCATCACCAAAAAAAGAAAGGCCCAGACATCTTAATAAAAGCTGTAATTTTTGGCGCAGTGTATGGTTTTATTCAGTTCGATTCCGATACACTGCCCCACCGCAAACCCCGGTGGGGTGACAGCCCATGTACAAACGTAGCCACACGTAAAAAATAAAAGTTCTGGTAAAGAAATTACAACTAAACTTTGGAGCCTTTGTTTACTGTTAATTGTACCATTGTTAAGTAGCAGTATAATACAAATGTACGCGAATAGTAATCCATTCTGGAAATGGAACTGTCACCCCTTCTTCCTATTATTTTAAATTTAATAATAAAAATAAAATAAAATTAGATTTATAAAGGTATTTGTAGTTGCGCTGATATATACGAGTATATTATGGAAATGTTCATCAATCATCATCAACAGCCTGTAATAGTCCACTGCTGGACATAGGCCTCTCCTTAGAAAGGAGGTTTTGGCCTACTATACCACGCTGGCCACGGGTTGGTATAGGGTTTGTGTCAAGTTTTCCTTCTTTTTGCAGTGCTGGTGTCCTGCGTTGCTTTGCGCCCTTAGTCGGCTCTTACGACACCCACGGGATGAATTGGGGTAGTGACATTCCGTATTCTTAATCCGTCACTACACGGACTCTGGATCATGGAAATGTTAGTTTAACAGAACTATAGTTTTTGCTAGTTTTCTCATGGGGACTCGATTTATTTAATTGATAAAAATATCTTTGTAATTGTCGAAAAGACCAGAAAATTGCGAAGATATTTGCTGCTTTGCAATGCGTTCCAGCT